AATTGCTACAAAGAGAATAAAATATTTAGGAATACAATTTACAGGGGACGTGAAGGACCTCTCCAAGGAGAACTACAAATCACTGCTCAAGAAAATAAGAGAAGAAACAAACAAATGGAAAAACATTCCAAGTTCATGGTTGGGAAAAATAAATATCGTGAAAATGGCCATACTGCCCAAAGTAATTTATAGATTCAATGCTATCCCCATTAAGTTACCATTGACTTTCTTGACAGAATTAGAAAAAACTACTTTAAATTTCTTATAAAACCAAAAAAGAACCTGTATAGCCAAGATAATCCTAAGCAAAAAGAACAAAGCTGGAGGCATCATGCTGACTTCAAACTATACTACAGGGCACTACAAGGCTACAGTAATCAAAACAGCATGGTACTGGTACCAAAACAGATATATAGACCAATGGAACCGAACAGAGGCTTCATAAATAACACCACCCATCTACAACTATCTGATCTTTGGCAATTCTGACAAAACTGAACAATAGGGAAAGGATTTATTTATTTTTAAAAATTTATTTATTATACTTTAAGTTCTGGGGTACATGTGCAGATCATGCAGGTTTATTACATAGGTATACACATGCCATGGTGGTGTTCACTGCATCCATTGCCCCATCATCTACATTAAGTATTTCTCCTAATGCTATCCCTCCCTAATCCCCCAACCCCCTGCTATTCCTCCCCTAGCTCTCCTTCCCCCAGGTCCTGGTGTGTGATGTTCCCCTCCCTGTGTCCATGTGTTTTCATGGTTCAACACCCACTTGAGTGAGAACATGTGGTGTTTGGTTTTCTCTTCTTGTGTCAGTTTGCTGAGAATGATGGTTTCCAGTTTCATGGACATGAACTCACCTTTTTACGGCTGCATAGTATTCCATGGTGTATATGAGCAAAGGACATGAACTCATCCTTTTTTAGGCTCCATAATATTCCATGGTGTGTATGTGCCACATTTTCTTTATCCATTGATGGGCATTTGGGTTGGCTCCAAATCTTTGCTATTGTGAACAGTGCCACAATAAACATATGTGTGCATGTATCTTTATGATAGAATAATTTATAATCATTTGGGGATATACCCAGTAATGGGATTGCTGGGTCAAGTGGTATTTCTAGTTCTAGATCCTTGAGGAATTGCCACACTGTCTTCCACAATGTTGAATTAATTTACACTCCCACCTACAGTGTAAAAGCATTCCTATTTCTCCACATCCTCTCCAGCATCTGTTGTCTCCTGATTTTTTTAATGATCGTCATTCTTACTGGTGTGTGATGGTATCTTAATGTCGTTTTGATTTGCATTTCTCTAATGACCAGTGATAATGAGCTTTTTTTTCATATATTTGTTGGCTGCATAAATATCTTCTTTTGAAAAGTGTCTGTGCATATCCTTTGCCCATCAAGCAATGATGGGATTGTTTGATTTTTTTTCTTGTAAATTTGTTTAAGTTCTCTGTAGATTCTGGATATTCTCCTTTTGTTAGATGGGTAGATTGCAAAATTTTTTCCCCATTTTGTTCGTTGCTGGTTCACTCTCATGATAGTTTCTTTTGCTGTGCAGAAGCTCTTACGTTTTATTAGATCCCATTTGTTTATTTTGGCTTTCTTTGCCATTGCTTTTGGTGTTTTAGTCATGAAGTCCTTGCTCATGCCTATGTCCTGAATGGTATTGCCTAGGTTTTCTTCTAGAGTTTTTATGGTGTTAGGCCTCATGTTTACATCTTTAATCCATCTGGAGTTAATTTTTGTATAAGGTGTAAGGAAGGGATCCAGTTTCATTTTTCTGCATATGGATAGCCAATTTTCCCAACCATTTATTAGAAAGGGAATCCTTTCTTCATTGTTGCTTGTGTCAGTTTTGTCAAAGATCAGATGGTTGTAGTGGTGTGGCATTTTTTCTGAGGCCTCTGTTCTGTTCCATTGGTCTATATCTCTGTTTTGGTACCAGTATCATGGTGTTTTGAGTACGGTAGCCTTGTAAAATAGTTTAAAGTCAGGTAGTGTGATGCCTCCAGCTTTTTTTTTTTTTTTTTTAATTAGGATTGTCTGGGCTATTTGGGCTCTTTTTTGGTTCCATATGAAGTTTAAGGTGGTTTTTTCCAACTCTGTTGAGAAAGTCATTGGTAGCTTGATGGGGATAGCATTGAATCTATAAATTATTTTGGGTAGTATGGCCATTTTCACGATACTGATTATTCCTAACCATAAGCATGGAGGATTCCTCATTTAATAAATGGTGTTGGGAAAACTAGTTAGCCATATGCAGAAAACTGAAACTGGACCCCTTCCTTAAACCTTGTACAAAAATTAACTGAAGATGGATTAAAGACTTAAAACATAAGACCTACAACTATAAAAGCCCTAGAAGCAAACCTAGGCAATATCATTCAGGACATAAGCATGAGCAAAGACTTCATAACTAAAACACCATAAGCAAAGGCCACAAAAGCCAGAATTGACAAATGGGATCTAATTTAACTACAGAGCTTCTGCACAGCAAAAGAAACTATCATCAGAGTGAAAAGGCAACTTACAGAATGGGAGAAAATTTTTGCAATCTATCTAACAAAGGGCTAATATCCAATATCTAACAAGGAACTTAAACAAATTTACAAAAACAAAACAAAACCATCAAAAAGTGAGTGAAGGTTATGAACAGACACTTCTCAAAAGAAGACATTTATGTGGCCAATAAACATGAAAAATAGCTCATCATCACTTGTCATTAGAGAAATGCAAATCAAAACCACAATGATTTGATGCAAATCAAAACCATCACTAGTCATTAGAGAAATGCAAATCACCATCTCATGCCAGTTAGAATGGTGATCATCAAAAAATCAGGAAACAACAGATGCTGGAGAGAATGTGGAGAAATAGGAATGCTTTTACACTGTAGGTGGGAGTGTAAATTAGTTCAACTATTGTGGAAGACAGTGTGGCAATTCCTCAAGGATCTAGAACTAGAAGTACCATTTGACCCAGCAATCCCATTACTGGGTATATACCCAAAGGATTATAAATCACTCTATTATAAAGATACATGCACATGTATTTATTGTGGCACTGTTCACAATAACACAGACTTGGGACCAACCCAAATTTCCATCAATGACAGACTTGATAAAGCAAATGTGGGACATATACACCATGGAATACTATGGAGCCATAAAAAAGGATGAGTTCATGTCCTCTGCAGGGACATGGATGAAGCTGGAAACCATCATTTTCAGCAAACTGACACAAGAACAGAAAACTAAATACCACATGTTCTCACTCATAAGTGGGAGTTGAACAATGAGAACACATTGACACAGGGAGGGTAACATCTCACAACAGATAGCATAAGGAGAAATACCTAATGTAGATGACGGGTTGATGGGTGCAGCAAACCACCATGGCACATGTATACCTATGTAACAAACCTGCACATTCTGCACATGTATCTGAGAACTTAAAGTATAATAATAAAAAAAAGTAACTGCAGTTTTGGGCCATGAATTTTAAATGATTATAACTAGGCTCAAATACACTGTTATTAATCAAAATAGGAACCATCACAATCAACACATATTTGCCAATGAGAAATAAGTTTATTCCTGTTGTGTAATAATCCGTGCTTCGGGATTCGCTGAACTCTTGAAAAGCATTTTCTGCATCCTACTGATTGTAGAAGTGCTTTCCCTGCAAAAAGTTGTTGAGATGCTTGAAGAAGTGGTAGTTGGCAACCAGTCAGGTGAATATGGTGGATGAGGCAAAACTTTATAGTTTTCATTTGTTCAACTTTTGAAGGGTTGGTTGTGCAACATGTGGTCAGGTGTTGTAGTTGTCATGGAGAAGACCTGGGCCCTTTCTGTTGACCAATGTCAGCTGCAGGCAATTGCAGTTTTCAGTGCCTCATTGATTTGCTGAGCATACTTCTTAGATGTAGTGGTTTCACTAGGATTTAGAAAGCCATAGTGGATCAGACTGGCAGCTGATCACCAGTGACCAATCACCTGTTTCTGGTGCTTTGGGATGTGCTGTGGAGCTTCTTCTGGGTCCAACCACTGACCCGGTCATTGCCAGTTGTATCAAATCTACTTTTCATAGCATGTCTCAATCCGATTGAGGAATGTTTCATTGTTATGTAGAATAAGAGAAGACAACACTTCAAAATGATGATTCTTTCAATTTTTCAGTTGGCTCACAAGGCATCCATTTATGGAGCTTTTCACCTTTCCAATTTGCTTCAAATGCTGAGTGACCATAGGATGATCAACACTGAGTTCTTAGGCAACTTCTTGTATAGTTATAAGAGGATCAGCTTCAATGACTGCTCTCAATTGATTGTTGTTAACTTTCTATGGTTGGCCACTACACTCCTCATCTTCAAGGCTCTCATTTCCTTTGCAAAACTTTCTTTTTTTTTTTTTAATTGCAACAGAGTCTTGCTCTGTTGCTGGAGTGCAGTGGCATGATCTTGGCTCATTACAACCTCTGCTTCCCAGGTTCAAGTGATTCTCCCACCTCAGCCTCCTGAGTAGCTGGGATTATAGGTGCGTGCCACCACGCCCAACTAATTTTTGTATTTTAGTAGAGACAGGGTTTCGCCATGTTGGCCTGGCTGGTCACGAACTCTTAACCTCAAGTGATCCACTGGCCTTGGCCTCCCAAAGTGCTGGGATTACAGGCATGAGCCACTGTAGCTGGCCATCCTTTGCAAAACTTCTTGAACCACTACTGCACTGTATGTTCATTAGCAGTTCCTGGGCCAAATGCATTCTTGATGTTGCCAGTTGTCTCTGCTGCTTTATGGCCCATTTTGAACTTGAATAAGAGAACTGCTCACATTTGGTTTTTGTCTAACATCATTTCCATAGTCTAAAATAAACAAATAGTCGCTAGCCAAAAACAACAACAACAACAACAACAAAACTGCAAGGTGAGAAATGCCCATTAAACTGATGTATAACATACATTTATTAAAGCACATATTCCAATATCAAATGGCAAATTCCAACAATTAAAACCAGAATTACTTTTGCAGTCACCTAATAGTAGCTGTTTTTTGTTCCTTGCCCCTCTGGGTGGAGGTAGGATGGGTTTCCTTCTTGCTATTCAGTTACTCAGTGCTATCGCTAAACTACCTCCTCCCTTTTTCTTAACCTTACCTTTAACTTTGAACCTCATGTCATCAGACTATACCATGCTTGGCTTTCCAAGCTATACTTATCCACCAACCTCCAAGCCTTTTCCTGAAATTCCTTGAAAATCGTTGCTCCTGGCTCTCTCCAACATTATTCTTATTATATTTTTTGGTGATTTCAGTATCCTCATGGATCATCCATTCAATGCTCTGGTGCTTGGTTTCTACGACCTCTTCTTCTCCAGTGATCTTTTTCTTTAACCTACCTTAGCTTTCCCTTCTTTGGTCATACCATAGACTTTGACAGCACCAATAACCACAGTTTCTCCATACACTCAGCTTCAAGCATCCTACTGTCAGATCATCACCTCTTATTTTAGCACATTCTTTCAATGAGCTCTAACAAATCTTAGACCGCTACAGGGATGTACAACTTACTGACTCTACTGACTTTTCACTGTCTCTTACCTTTTACTTGCCTCATATAACAAATGACCCTCAAATTTAGCATCTTAATACAACAAACATTATCTCACAGTTTCTGGTTGGGTGGTCTGGCTCAGGGTCTCTTATGAGGTTGCAGTCAAGTCGTTGGTTGAGAGTCCAGTCTCTGAAGACTTGATTAGGGCTGGAGGGTCTACTTCCATGTTCATTCACAGGGCTGCTGGCAGAATGTTTCAGTTTCTTGCCACATGATCCTCTTTATAGAACTGCTAATGATGTACATGGCTTCCCTCAGAGCAGATCTGAGACGGAGGGAGGGAGGAGGGAGAGAGAGCGAGCAAGTGCACGTAAGCATGTCTTCAGGTTTGGGTAAGTACACTCTATGAGGTTTGCACAAAGACAAAATTACCTAACAATGCATTTCTCAAAATGTATCCCCATCTTTAAGTGACGTGACTGTAGATCCCCAAATTCTCTCATATCTCTCCTGCATCATGTGTTTTCTCCTGTCTACTGGATAATTTCCACCGATAAAGAATATATGCTATGATCTTAAAGAACTCTCTTATGGTCCTACCTCTACATTCAGCCACCTGTTTCACTGTGTCCCTTCACAACAAAATTCATGGAAAGCATTGTCTAAATTTGCTGTCTCCAATTTCTTCTCCTACTCTTTCTTGCCTAACCTATCAGGATTTTGCTCTCCAACTGCTCTAAAGACACTGCTCTTTTTAAAGTTATCAATGACTTCCACGTGGTCAAATCCAAAAGTCAATTTTCAGTCCTCATCTTATTTGATCTATCAGCAGGATTTAACACAGATGGTCTGCCCTCAGTGGACCATTTCTTTTTCACCTGGCTTTCAAGGTATCACACCCCAGTGGTTTTCTTCTTTAGTTTATGGACAAATCCTTCTCAATCTCTTAGCATTCTCCTCCTCTTCTGCTCAGTCTCTGTAATAGTGAAATACCCTAGGGCTGGTTTAGGATCTATTCTTTTATCTGTCTATATTCAACCCCTTGATGATTCCATCCAGTTTCATGGCTTTAAATCTACAGGCTAACAACTCTTAGATTTATATTTTCAGCCCAGAACTCTTCTCTGAGCTCCAGACACTTTTCCTTATACTATCTTCTTGGACGTTGATTAGGCAAGTAAAACTTAATCTGCCCCAAACTGAACTCCTGATCTCCCCCTTTCCAAATCTACTCCTTCCACTCTCTTCACAGTGTCAGTAAATAGTAGTTTCATCCTGACAGTTGCTCGGATGAAGCCTCTAGTTTTCCTTGACATCTCTCTTACCCAATCCATATCCAAACCTTTAACAGATCCTGAAAGTTTTGCCTCCCAAATAGATACAGAATCCACTTAACATGATCTCAACCACCACTTCCTTGATCCGACATCATAATTCCTTATCCGAATTACTGCAATAGCCACCTAATTGGTCTTCTTTACCGTCTATTTTCGCTATAGCACTCAGAATTATTTTTTTAAATTTAAATCACATTATGGTGTTCCTTTGCTCCAAACCTTGCTCCAGTAGCTCCCCATCTCAACATCTATGGTGGCTTACATGTTCGATTCGATTGCGGGTCCTTCCATTTTTCCCCTCTCCCTCTGCTCCAGTCACACTGTCCCCACCTCGGGGCGTTTGTCCTTGTTGTTTTATCTGGAACACGTTTATAAAGCCTGCGTTGAAGAGCACAGTGGCTTATTCTATTACCTCTTTTAAGTCTTTGCTCAAAAGTACCTCAGTGCAGCTTCTCTGGACATTCTAGTATTTTATTCCTCCCATCCCCACCCTGCCCACCACACTCCCTATCCTCTTAGCTTTTACTCCACAACACACACGTTTGCTTACTCATTGTTTATTCGCTTATTTCCCCCTCACTGAACTGTGAATTCCCTGAGCAGGGATATTTGTTTCGTTTATACCTGCGTAACTTCGGTGCTTAGAACAGCACGCGTGTGTAAAAAGCTCGCCGTAACGTATGTTAACCGAACGAATAAATTATCCCACAGAGATAATCGAGTGTCTCTGGATGACAGCAGAGCCTGCAGCAGAGAGGGAGACCACTCAGGAGGCCGTGGTGTCCAAATACAGTAACATGCATGAAACAGCGTGGTAAAACGAGCTGCACAAAGAATCCAAAACATTTGTTAGCTTAGTTTGTTTCTCGAGGAAGCCGTGTCTCCCTGTTTCACACTTTTCCAGTGCTTCCCTCCACTGCGACCCCTGGCCCGCCCAGTCGGCCAGATCGCAAGCCCAACGCGTGTCTTTCCGGTGTGATTTAGAAGGTCTCGGGGCTGGAACTTGAGTCCCACCACGCCTCAGATGGCACATCACTCAGCGACCGCGCGCACCCACACATTCCCACCCCCTCAGCCGGACAGGAACAGGAAGTGACCAAACCACGGAAGCCCGAAACCCCGCCTCTCACGTCTTCCAAGCTGCGGGAGGGGACGCGGCGTCCGGAAGGGGCGGGCACAAGGTTACGGAAGGGCGGGACGGAGCGGCCCACCTAAAAGTGGCGGTTTCCTTGAGGCCGTTACCTTAGTACCCGCAGTAGACTGAGTCTGTGGCTAGCTGCGGGCGGACTCCCGGCCAGTGCTGTCTCAGCCGGAGTGGGCCTCGGGGCCTCAGAAACAGGCTTTTACCTGGCCCGAGGCACCTAGCCGTTCAGCGCGTCCTCCCATAACCGGATACCGATCATTGGAGCTCTCGGCTGCAGACCCAGGTTCCCGCCCCTCCCTTTGCCCCCGGGCTGCGGCTGTCATTCCGCCCTTCCCGCCTCGCTGCGCCCACAGCTGGGCACAATCTTCGTTCTTTCATTCCGATCCTTTCTCTTCCCTCTCATCGCCATTTCTTCTAGAAGGCAACTTAAAACGTTTCTTGCCTTTTTATTTCTTCCCATGTCTCTTCCCTTCTTCCTTTTTCTCTAGAATCCTTTTCAAATCCGTGTCAGTCTTCTGCCTCCAGGGCTTCTCTCCTTTTCACGGGCCTCTGGCTCATGTGTTAGGAGGTTGAACTTTTAATGCAGTCATTTGAAGATTGTAAGCTTTTTCTTTCTCCTTACCAGGAGTCACAGATGCTGGGAAGTATGGCCCGTAAGAAACCTCGAAATAACACACGGTTGCCCCTGGCTTTAAACCCCTTGAAGAGCAAGGACGTGTTGGCAGTGCTGGCTGAGAGGAACCAGGCTATAGTACCAGTTGGGGCATGGGTGGAACCTGCCTCACCAGGTAGTTCGGAAATCCCAGCATATGTGAGTGTCAGTTTGATCCAAATATGGTGGGGTTTCCCACCACCCTTTTTATTACCCTTCTCTAATCTGGGTGCTTAAAGATGAACAGTCTGAGGATGCTGTTTCTATTCTGCCATAAATAGATTATGTTCTTACATTAGAATTATAGAACAAACAAGTATTTGCCAAAACTTGACTGCAACTTCAGTTGGCATAATCAAATACTACTCACCTACTATAATAAATAGACCATAATCTACATGCAACAGGTTATATAGATACATATCTGTATGTCAGTTTACTTCAGACTCTTGATTGGTTGCTACGCCCAAGACGTAAGCACTATCTGCAAGATAGTTGACATACTTTAAGTAACATTAATTGGTTGCTTAAGGTTTATGATAAATTTTGTAATGAGGATTCAGACAAAAATCGGGTAATAGAATAAAGGAGAAGGGGATGAACTCTGGTAATCTGAGAAAGTCTAACTTGAAATTCCGCAATTTCTGATAGTCTTTCACTAAACTTAGCTGTGTGTTCAAATTTAAATTGGCACCTACCACATTGTGTTATAATAGATTGTTAATGTATCTTTTCCTGATGCAATGGGAGCTCCTTGAGCTTAGAGGACAAATCTCATTTATCATCACACTCCCACTTTTATCTTAAAGACTGCCTAATAAATATAGACACTCATGAAATATTTATGAAAGGCACATAATGTCTTCTGTATATATAGACAAGGTGCTGAACATGGATGAAAAAAGTATGAGGTATGTTCCCTAAGTATACTTGATCTCAGAGGAGAAATGAGACATATTTAAAGTAAATGTGAAAGTAATGGAATATACTATATTCATTTTACTTTTGTTTGCACATATGTATGTATATTCATTGATTTATTCCTACTCTGCCTATTTCCAAAACGGGTTTTAAGAGTCTAGGTGGTATATCTAAGTTCTAAGAATATAATGCTTAATCAAAGAAGAAGCTCTGACATTGGGTTGATGTGACCCAGGAAAGTGTAATGAAGAATTTGAATCATCGGAAAAGGGAAGGGAATGATTCTCCTATTAAGGAGAATGGGGAGAGTACAGGTTCAGGATTCTAAGGGTAGATTAGATCGGTTGGAGTGGAAAATTTAGTAGGAGAACGGTTGTTGACAGGATTATGGAAAATAGGGATGGTAGAGAACCATAGGAAATTTTGGAGAAGGGATTGACTTTAATTGTTTAATATTTACAGGTGAATTTTATGATCAACCAGTGTTTTGATTAGATTAATTGCTTCAAAGATATTGAAGCAATGGGTAATGGCTTGTCTTTGCTCCATAGTGTCTGGGGCCTCAGCTGGGGCTCAAGTAACTGGACATGTCTGGGACTTATTGACTATTTTCTGGCTGTTGGTTGGAGCTAGAAAACAGTCAGGCTATCCCAGTCATGTGACACCTGCTAGGCTGTAATGTTCAAGATGGCTTTCTTATTCAGATATCTGACATTGCTGGCTAGAAATGTTTCTCTTTTCATATGGCTTCTCTGTTAACTAACTTGGGCTTCCTCATAGCATGGTAATCTCAGGGTAGTCAGAATTTTTATACAGTGCTGACTTTCTTCAGAATGAGCACTCTAAGAACCCAGGTGAAAGTTGCTTTATGACCTGGCTTGGGAAGTCACAGAGCCCATTTGCCTCATTTTGTTAGATATTTGGAGTCAGACCAAATTCACTTTGGGAGAGGACTACCCAAAAGCATGAAGGCTAGGAGACTTGATTCATTGAAGAGAGATCTAACTGCTGTGTCATTAAGCTCCAACTCCATCATATGTGAATGTGTTCTTTGGATGTTGTGAGAAACACTTCATTCCATATGGCCCCCTTGGATAGTCCATAAGGTGCATAAAGGCTATGAGAAGTTAGCTGTACAATCAAAACAACATTTCGCTGTGTTTAACCCTGTATTTCCAAAATTTACTTCAATCTGGGAACCTCTGAACATCCCACAGAACAATTTTTCTTGGGTTTTGGTGGCCTTGCACTATGGTACTTGCTAAGAAAAGTACGTTTCTAAAATCTTGTATACTCTTATATTTGGTTTACAGTTGAGATCCACAATCTGTAATCATTCAGTAAGATGTTTGATAATCTTACGGAGCAAAAGAGGAGCAGAGAAAATGGAAGTAAAACAAAGAGGCTGAATGGCTTAAACTTGTCTGGGGCTTCAGTTAATCTGGGTCAGTTGTTCAGGCTTTATTACATATATGTTTCTCCTTTGGAATTATTTTGCCTAATTGTTTTTTGATACTTTATACTCCACTAGAATAGTTTATGCAATAGACTTCTTGGAAATTTTAACTTAAGTTGAAATTTGAATGCATTTGATTTTGAGAATGTAATGACAGCCTGTAAAATGATCTGAGGCACCCTTCAGAATTAGAAGTCAGAATCACTGAGTTAGAAGAAAGAATAGGTAGGATATATGATGATGATTTTATTTAATTAGAAAATTCCTATTGAAAGAGAGACGTAGTCAAGAGAAAAGCAGTGTAGAAAGGAACATAATTGTTGGAGTCAGAAACTTCTAGTTCTGCTACTAGTCAGCTGTATTAAAATTACCTAATCTTTCTGAATCCCAGTTTCCTCATCTGTAACATAAGAGATAAGAATACATACTAGCAAACGTGGTTTTGAGGATAGAAAATGTAGTTAAAATATTTGTCACATAATAGATCCATAATAATGGTAAGTGCTGTTATGATGATGACTGTGATTGTTATTCAGAACACTTAGAGGAGATAAATGCAGATCAAGCACTCAAATGGGATAAAGTGTGCCAGATTGTTTAGAACAAGCTTGTCCAACATGTGGCCATGGGCCCAGGATGTGGCATGCTGCATGTGGCCCAGGATGGCTTTGAATGAATGTGGCCCAACATAAATTAATAAATTTTCTTTTCTTTTCTTTTCTTTTTTTTTTTTTGAGATTGGGTCTTGCTCTATTGCCCAGGCTGGAGTGCAATGGCACAATCTCAGCTCACTGCAATCTCCACCTCCCCAGTTCAAGTGACTCTCCTGCCTCAGCTTCCCAAGTAGTTGGGATTACAGGTGCCCACCACCATGCCTGGCTAATTTTTGTATTTTCAGTAGAGACGGGGTTTCGCCATGTTGGTCAGACTGATCTTGAACTCCTGACCTCAGGTGATCCACCCACCTTGGCCTCCCACAGTGCTGGGGTTACAGGCATGCGCCACTGTGCCTTGCCTAAATTAATAAATTTTCTTAAAACACTGTGAGTTTTTTTGTGATTTTTTTTTTTTTATACTCATCAGCTGTCCTTCGTGTTAGTGTATTTTATGTAACAGTTCTTCCAGTGTGGCCTGGGGAAGACAAAAAATTGGACACCCCTGGTTTAGAATATGTTTTGCAATTGAATAATTATATAAATATATATTGACTATCCTTATAGTCAAGGCTCTGTACTACATGCTGTAGGGGAAACAAGGGAGAATTGAATATATATCCTGCCCTCAAAGAGTTTATAATATAATAAGGGAGTCAAGAAGTATGATACTCAGTTAACACTGGTGAAATGAGAAGTGTTATAGTATAAGAGGGCTTAGAGGAAGAAAGTGTTGTGGGAAGTGCTAAGGAGTGGATATTAAATGGTTGTGAAAACTGAGTAGGCCTTTACTAGGTGGAGATGAGAGGAAGGGCATGCCAAATTAAAAATGGAGTATAATGGCCGGGCGCAGTGGCTCAAGCCTGTAATCCCAGCACTTTGGGAGGCCGAGGCGGGTGGATCACGAGGTCAAGAGATCAAGACCATCCTGGTCAACATGGTGAAACCCCGTCTCTACCAAAAATACAAAAAATTAGCTGGGCATGGTGGCACGTGCCTGTAATCCCAGCTACTCAGGAGGCTGAGGCAGGAGAATTGCCTGAACCCAAGAGGCGGAGGTTGCGGTGAGCCAAGATCGCGCCATTGCACTCCAGCCTGGGTAACAAGAGCGAAACTCCGTCTCAAAAAAAAAAAAAAAAAAAAAAAAAAAAGCATAATGCCGAGTATGAGGACATTTTGCAATAGGACATATTTGGTGAGTGGTAAATAACCTGGTGTGTCTTGACTA